TGGAAAGACATCCCATGCTCAATGGATTGGAAGAAAAACACTGTTAATGTCTATACTACGCAAAGCAATCTATACATTTAATGCAATCCCTATCAAAATACCACCAACATTTTTCATGGAGCTAGAACAAACAATCCTAAAATTTGTATGGAGCCACAAAAGACCCAGAATAGCCAAAGCAGTACTGGAAAAGAAAAGCAAAACTGGAAGCAACATGACTCTGGTCTTCAAGCTGTATTACAAAGCTGTAATCATCAAAACAGTATAGTATGGCACAAAAACAGACACAGATCAGTTGAACAGAATAGAAAACACAGAAATGGACCCACAAGTGTATGATCAATCTAGTCTTCAACACAGCAGGAAAGAATATCCAATGGAAAAAAGACAGTCTCTTTAACAAATGGTGTTGTTAAAAACTGGACAGCAACATGCAGAAGAATAAAACTGGACCACTTTCTTACACCATACACAACAGTTAATTCAAAATTGATGAAAGACCTCATTGTGAGACAGGAAACCATCAAAATCCTAGAGGAGAGCACAGGCAGAAACCTCTTTGGCATTGCCCATAGCAACTTGTTACTATACACATCTCTGGAGGCAAGGGTAGCAAAAGCAAAAGTGAACTCTTGGGACCTTATCAAGATAAAAAAGCTTCTGCACAGTGAAAGAAACAATCAACCAAATTAAAAGGCAACCTTCAGAATGAGAGAAGGTATTTGTAAATGACATATCTGATAAAGGGTTAGTGTCCAAAATCTATAAAGAACTTACCAAACTCAACACCAAATAATCCAGTTATAAACGGGCAGAAGACATGAATAGACATTTTTTTTCCCCCAAAGAATACATACAGATGGTTCGCAGATACATGAAAAGATGTTCATCATCATTTGTCATCAGGGTATACAAATCAAAACTACAATGAGATATCACCTCACACCTGCCAGAATAGCTAAAGTAAACAATACAGGAAACAACAGATGTTGGCAAGGGTGTGGAAAAAGGGGGAACCTTCTTACACTGACAGTGGGAATGCAAATTGGTGCAACCACTCTGGAAAACAGTAAGGAGGTTCCTCAAAAAGTTCACAATAGAACTACCCCAGGATCCAGCAGTTGCACTACTAAGTATTTACCCACAGTTTACATTAATACTAATTCAGATGGGTACATGCACCTGATGTTTATAGCAGCATTATTACTGCTAGCCAAATTATGGAGAGTCCAAATATTCATTGAGTGATGAATGGATAAAGAAGTATATATACATATGTGTGTGTGTGTGTGTGTGTGTGTGTATATATATACACAATGGAATATTACTCAGCCATAAAAAAGAATGAAATCTTTTCATTTGCAATGACATGGATGGAGCTAGAGAGTATTATTCTATGTGAAATAAACCAGAGGAAGGCAAATACCATATGATTTCATTCATGTGTAATTTAAGAAACAAAACAGATAAACATAGGGAAGAAAAGAGTCAAACCGTAAAACTGACTCAACTATAGAGGACAAACTGAGGGTTGCTGGAGTAATGGTGGGCGACGGGATGGGTTATATGGTATTAAGGAGGCACTTGTGATGAGCACTGGGTGTTGTATGTAAGTGAAGAATCACTAAATCCTATTCATGAAGTGAATATTACACTGTATGTTAACTGACTGGAATTTAAATAAAAACTTGGAAGGAAAAAAAAACTTTTAGAATTTCTTTAAAAAAAAAAGGGAAGAGAGTTTTATTCAAACCCAAGTGGGGACAGCCACCCAAGATACACGGTCTTAACATGGAAGAAAGTGCTCTGGAAAAGGAATGTTTAATCAGGGTTATATATGTTTTTTGTTTCATCAAGGGTCACAAATCATCATGATGAAGGACATTTCAGAAAATTACAAACTTTATCTTATGCTTTTAGTATATGCAAGGTTGTAGGCTTCAGACCTATGGGAATGGAAGTTAGGGAGATTTTTACTCTTTAGTTTGAAATGTTTAGTTTTTGGTTATTTGCTACAAAACAGATGTACAATGTGTACTCAGGCAAGATAAAGAGCCCATACTTTGAAGTTTGTTGAAGTCGTTCTGATTCTGATAAAAGTATAGCTTCCATGGGAGCCCAGGAGCAGGGTCCGCAAACATTAAAAGTTGAACATTTCCTTTATCACTAGACAAGAAACAACAAACAAAATCCAAAACCAAGAGAAGGAAGGAAATAACAAAGATGAGAGTAGAAATAAATGATACATTAATTAAAAAATCAATAGAACAGATCAGTGAAACAGAGCTGGTTCTTTGAAAAGATCAACAAAATTGATAAACCTTTAGCCAGACTCATCAGAGAGAGAGGGAGAGAGAGAGAGAGAGAGGACTCAAATAATTATAATCATAATTGAAAGAGGAAAAATAACAACCAACACCACAGAAATACAAACAATTGTAAAAAAAATATGAAAAACTGTATGCCACCAAATTAGAGAACACAGAACAAGTGGATAAATCCCTAGGAACACATAACCTACAAAAACTGAAACAGGAAGAAGTAAAAAAGTTGAACATACTGATTACCAGCAAGGAGACTGAGTCAGTAATCAAAAAAACTTCCAACAAACAAAAGTCCAGGACCAGATGGCTTCACAGGAGAATTCTACCAAACATTTAAAGAAGAGTTAATATGTATTCCTCTTAAACTATTCCAAAAAATGGAAGAATAAGGAAAACTTCTAAATGCATTCTATGAGGGCAGTATCACCCTTACACCAAAACAAGGTAAAAGCACCAGAGAGAGAGAGAGACAGAACTACAGGCCAATATCCCTGATGAGTATACATGCAAAAATACTCAACAAAATATTAGCAAACCAAATCCAACAATATATTTTTTAAAAAATCATTTACCACGATCAAGTGGGATTTATTCCTGGGATGCAAGGGTGGTTCTATATTCTCAAATCAATCAACATGATATATCACATCAATAAGACAAAGGATAAAAACCATGTGGTCATTTCAATAGATGCAGAAAAAGCATTTGACAAAGTACAATATCCAATCATGATAAAAGCCTTCAGCAAAGTAGGTTTAGAAGGAACATATTTCAACATAATAAAAGCCATATTTGAAAAACTCACAGTTAACATCATACTCACTAGGAAGAAACTGAAAGCTTTCTTCCTAAGGTCAGGAACAAAATAAGGATGTCCTCTCTCACCACTTTTATTCAATGTATTACTGGAAGCCCTAGCTACAGCAGTTAAACAACAAAAAGAAATAAAAGACTTCCAAATGGGTAAGGAAGAAGTCACCACTTTTATTCAACGTATTACTGGAAGTCCTAGCTACAGCAGTTAAACAACAAAAAGAAATAAAAGCCTTCCAAATAGGTAAGGAAGAAGTAAAACTTTCACTATTTGCAGATGACAGGGTACTCTATATAGTAAACCTGAAAGACTCCACCAAAAGCCTGCTAGAACTTATAAATGAATTCAGTGAAGTTGCAGGATGCAAAATCAATGTGCAGAAATCTGTTACATTTCTATACACTAATAATGAAGAGGCAGAAAGAGAAATAAAGAAAACAATCTGATTTATAATTGCACCAAAAATAAGATAGCTAGGAATAAACCTAACTAAAGCGGTGAAAGACCTGTACTCTGAAAACTATAAAACACCAATGAAAGAAATTGAAGATGATACAAAGAAATGGAAAAACATTCCATGCCCATGGGTTGGAAGAATGAATATTGTTAAAATGTCTCTACTACCCAAAGCAATCTACATATTTAATACAATCCATATGAAAATACCAACAGCATTTTTCATACAACTAGAACAAATAATCCTGAAACTTATATGGAACCACAAAGGACCTCAAATAGCAATTTTGAAAAAGGAAAGCAAAGCTGGAGTTATCACAATTCTAGAGTTCACTTTAAATTACAAAGTGATAGTAATCAAAACATTATGGTAGTAGCACAAAAATAGAAACATCGATCAATAGAACAGAATAGAAAATCCAGGAATAAGCCCATACTTATATGTTCAGTTAACCTTTGACAAAGCAGGAAAGAATATCCAGTGGGAAAAAGATAGTCTCTTCAACAAATGCTTTTGGGAAAGCTGGTCAACTACATGCAAAAGAATGAAACTAGACCACTTTCTTACACCATAAACAAAAATAAATTTAACATGGATTAAAGACCTAAATGTAAGACATGAAATCATAAAAATCCTAGAAGAGAGCACAGGCAGTAATGTCCCCGACATCTGCCGTGGCAACATTTTTCTAGGTATGTCTCCTGAGGCAAGGGAAACCACAGCAAAAATAAACTATTGGGACTATCTCAAAATAAAAAGCTTCTGCACAGCTAAGGAAAGAGTCAACAAAAGTAAGTCAGAGAAAGACAAATACAATGTGATTTCACTCATATGTGAAATTTAAGAAACAAAACAAATGAGCAATGGAAAAAAATAAAGAGAGACAGACCAAGAAACAGACTCTTACCTATAGAGAACAAATTGATGGTTACCAGAGGGGAGGTGGGTGGGTGGATGGGTTAAATAGATGGTGGGGATTAAGAAGTGCCTTTGTTGTGATGAGCACTGGGTGATGTATGAATCACTATATTGTACACCTGAAACTAACACTGTATGTTAAGTAACTGGAATTAAAATAAAAACTTGAAAAAATAAAAAATAAAATCCAGTGCCAGAATTTTATTCTTGTAGTGTTTTCACCTTTGTCAGGAGCAGTGTTCTGTCATTACCCTTTTTAAATAGAATTTCACTACTATTCCTACTTATTTTTTCTATACAAATGTTTACAGTTTTTCTACTTCCCAAATAATTATTATTAAATTATGAATCAATTTAGGAAAGATTGACATTGTTACCATTTTAATATTCCTATGTAAGGATAGGATCTTTATTTTCATTTCTCCAAAACTTCTTTTGGAATTCTCAGTAGACTTTTTTTTTCTCTCCATTTTTCCTGTGCTCATAGCAAGATGGATTCTGGATATACTCCGAGTATTGTAACAACCACCTGGACGCCTGCATGGAACTCTCCAAACTAATGAAGGACAGCCGCTACCAGCACTTCTTTGAGGCCTGTCGCCTCTTGCAGCAGATGATCGATATTGCTATTGATGGTTTCCTTTTGACTCCAGTGCAGAAGATCTGCAAATATCCCTTACAACTGGCTGAGCTCCTCAAATATACTGCCCAGGACCATAGGTAAAAGATAGAGAGAAGCAGGAGTTAGGAGAGCCTCATCTACATGTTGGTCTTTATTAAGAATATATGTCCTTTAGCTTTTTCTGAGCTTCCTTCTGTTAACTTGTCTGCACAATGGGATGGTGATATATTTTTGCTTACCTCGTAAGGTTATTGTGTGTGTAAAGCAGAAGAATGCTTGTGAGAATTTCTTATAAACCTGGGAATCACTATGCACAAAAAATCAGTATGCATCATTATTGCACAACTTACACCCTGCCTTCAGGGAGCTTAGCCGTGTCCTTAGACCTAAATTTAGCGAAGTGAAATAATCCAGATGGAATAATTGTTCAACGGTCTATTCTTCTCTGTTTGTGTGATAGATTCAATACCCTAATAATAGCCTGCATAACTTGTAGTGACCTTAGATTTATTCTGCAAGGCTATATCCCTGGTATTTTTTAGTCTTTTCCACCCTCCTCTGCCTCATCCCAACTCTACCTTCCCTTTAGACTCAGAGCATGGCTGGGAGGTAAACAGACTTGAGACTTCTCCTGAAGCTTTTTTTTTTTAATTTTCAGTATTTTTTAAGAAAACCAATCCAAAAATGACCAAGAAACTTAGCTCTCTCTGAATGGAAATGACATACCAGTAAATGATCCTACAAGTAAGGTATATGCTGAGAGTCATCTCCAACAATGAATGAACCACCCCCTCCACTCTTTCACATGCTTTACTTTATAACCTAGAGCCCTCAGCCTTTTTATAGCCTGTCTTTAATTAGTATTAAATTCCTGATCTTTGACTTATTCAGCTCTCTTCCTGATTGAACCCTCCAAGAAGAAAGAAGACTTCTGTCCAGTTTCCCTTAGCTTTCTATCCAATTCTCATTAGACCCACTTCCTACTTTCACTTGGCTCCATTACCTGGTTTCCTTGGAGCTGACTTCCAGACCTAGTTGTGTAAGGCCACAGGTATGGGCCAGTTGGTTTTGTTTATGCTAAGCTCAAGGCCAGTCCCTGGGTTCATTTTTAAGTTGATGGTGTTTCTTTAGCAAATCATGGTCATGTGCTTCAGTTTCTGGAGCCTTGGACAAATTTCAGATTTGAATCCAAATGTGGTAACACTTGTGTGAGAATGCCACCAGCGGTAGCTCTGCCTGCCATGATGTGTTGGTTATGAGGGAGGCAGATAGTGAAGGACCTTACAAAAGAGGACTCTGTTCCCTTCTCCCTGAGTCTGTTTACTAGCTGGGGGATAGTGGGCGTATTCATTAGAAATGAAATTTGCAGGTGACTAAATGTTATTTTAGAAGACTTAATACAGACCATTGCTAGAACTGAGTCCCAAGTTTTCTAAGGATACAGTTTCTTGTGAGAGCTAATAGGACACTGAAGAACTTCCACTAAAATTAGGATATTTTAAAAATAAAAATGGAAAATATTTATGGCACCTAAAATGGAAAGCCCTTAAAGGAAGGTCTTCTAGTCAGACTTCCTCATTTTATGGCTAGAAAGACTGAGGCCCAGAAAGCAAGTCTGTGTGGCAAAGCAGTGACGCAAAGTGTGGACAGTGGTCTGGGAACCTAGCTTTGTAAAGAGCCCTCCAGGTAATTTTCATGCCCAAAAATATTTATGAGCCATTGTATTAGGCAGTCTGGAAGGCCTCTTCCAGTTCTGCCAGCCCATGATGTCATTAGCCTAAATTACCTTCGCTGTTATACTTCATGGTGCTAAGTGACCAGAAGTGATCATTATTGTACATAAATCTCAGAGGAGCAACCTTCGAACCAATGGTTTTAAAACTGGGATATTCAAAGAGTGGTTCTCAAATGTTTTTATATTACAGCTCATCTCTCATCAACACCTACTCCTGAGTATCTGTTTCATGGAATCTAGCAGGAGGCTCTAAAAATCATACTTGTGGACTGATATTAATAGGTAAATTATATATTGTACAATTGCTTTCAAGAGCCCCAGAAAGACCATTTTCAAAGCACAGCCCAAAACTGTGTGAGTTTCTTAAGCCAAAACAACCCCAGGACCTTATTGAGTTTAGTGGGGCCAGTAAGATAGGATATCTACCTGGGATTTGCCATCCTTATGGTCCTTCACCTTGTTATTGGAGTCCCTGCCTCAAGGTCTTCTTGCCCTCTGGGTCCCTTTTCCCCCCTCTTTCTACCTCCTGAGCTCCAGAGTGCTGAGAGAGTGGCTCAGGTATTGGAAAGATACATGAATACCTGTCCTCCTTCAGGGTGACAGTCCCAGTGTCAGTCCCAGCACTATCCCCAGGCCATGGGGCACCTCTTTTGGCCAGCTTCAGGAAGCTGTATTAAGATGACAGCTCCTGTGATGCATGTCAGAGTAGCTTGGATTTGAAGTTAATTAGAGGCTGCTGCCAGCTAGAAGGCTTAGTCAAATAGGTGTTTGGACAAGTAGGTCTGAAATGCAAGCACTCAGAGTGGCCTCTAAGGGAAAAGATTAGATGGATGGAGAGTAATAAATGGATAATAATACTGCCTTTGCTTACAGAAGGGTGATGTGTCCCCACCCTGCCTTCCAACATTTCTTAAGCTGACAGGAAGGAAGACTGTGTAAGAGGGAGGCTAGCTGACATATCTGGAACAAGACAATCTTGGTTCAGTAGATCTTATCAAGGGGCTGGGCCCAGACCTCATCTGAAGGCCTGGGGGATCTGAGCAGGGTTTAGGTGAGACCACAACTATTCACTTCTTCTCTCACCCACTCCTAAAGCTAGTGGGGCAGGTTAAAAATGGGGACCTTCCCCCTCTAACCATTGTAAGAAAGACAGCTAAAAATGGCAAAGGTTGAATGACAGTATGGCACAGTGACCATAATGAATCCATGGCTGAGTAGTACATGGGATCAGAGGTAATAGGCATTCTCATTCCAGTGCTGTCCAATGGAACTTTCTACAATAATATAAATGTTTTATATCTGTGCTGTCCAATGTAGTAGCCACTGGCTACATACGACTACTGAGTACTGAGAAATATAGCTGGTGCAACTGAAGTACTAAATTTTTAACTATATTTAATTTTAAATAAATGTGGCTAATGGCTACCATATTGGACAGTGTAATTTTATGCTTTACCTTCCCCAAAGTGGCTTAAGTCATTTTCCTGGTGCCCTCAACCCAGGAAGAGGAATGGCATGGGAGATAGTAAATGGGCCCAGAGAACAGGGGCACTTATTTATGTTAGCAGCTTCTACACTGCACCTACCTCTTCTGTCATCACCCTACTCTGCTTCCAAATGGCAGGCTCAGATAACCTTGCCAGGGAGAAACTTTAATAGTCATACAGAGCCCAATAGATTGCCCATAGGCTGAAGCAAGTAACTGTAAAAAGATAAAATATATCAAGAACAAATATTAGAATGGCTAAAATTAACAAGACAGGAAACAAAAATTTTGGTGAGGATGTGGAGAAAGGGGAACCCTCTTACACTGTTGATGGGAATGCAAGCTGGTACAGCCACTCAGGAAAACAGTATGGAGGTGCCTCAAAAAGTTAAAAATAGGACTAACCTACGACCCAGCAATTGTACTACTGGGTATTTACCCCAAAGACACAGATGTAGTGAAAAGAAGGGACACCTGCACCCCAGTGTTCCTAGCAGCAATAGCCAAACTGTGGAAGGAGCCAAGATGTCCTTCAATAGATGAATGGAAAAAGAAGTTGTGGTTCAGGGATCCCTGGGTGGCTCAGTTGGGTTAAGCGTCTGCCTTCAGCTCAGGTCATGATCCCAGGGTCCTGGGACTGAGCCCCATGTTGGGCTCTCTGCTCAGTGGGAGCCTGCTTCTCCCTCTCCCTGCTGCTCCTCCTGCTTGTACTGTCAAATAAATTAATAAAATCTTAATAATAAGAAGTTGTGGTTCATATATACAATGGAATATTACTAAGCCATCAGAAGGGCTGAATACCTACCATTTACATCGACATGGATGGAACCGGAAGGTATTACACTCAGTGAAATAAGTCAATCAGAGAAAGACAATTTTATGGTTTCACTCACGTGTGGAATATAAGGAATAGTGCAGAGGATCATAGGGGAAGGGAGGGAAAACTGAATGGGAAGAAATCAGAGAGGGAGACAAACCATGAGAGACTCAACTCCGGGAAACAAACCAAGGGTTGCGGAAAGGGAGGTGGGTAGGGGGATGGGGTAACTGGGTGATGGACATTAAGGAGGGCACACGATGTGATGAGCACTGGGTGTTATAGGCAACTAATGAATCATTGAACACCACATCAACAACTAATGATGTACTATGTGTTGGCTAATTGAATTTAAAAAAAAAAACAAATGTAAGATTTTGTAGTTCAGTCTAAGAAATCAAGAGGGAGACAGAGTTCAAGGACAGGCTTAGAGAGATGGGGCTTCTAGACAGCCTATCTTTTAAATATTTATTTATTTCAGAGAGAGAGAGAGAAAGCATGGGGAAGGGCAGAGGGAGAAGCAGACTCCCTGCTGAGCAGGGAGCCTGATGTGGGGCTCGATCCCAGGACCCTGGGATCATGACCTGAGCCGAAGGCAGACACTTAACCCACTGAGCCACCCAGGTGCCCCTAGACAGCATAATTTAAAGAGACTTAGGAAGCATTAGTCAACCATGAGTTCAAATAAGTCAGCAGTTGGATCCAGAAGAAAAACTGGTAATAGCTAACATTTATTGAGGCTCAGAATACATAAGAGTTTAAGAGTTTTGTTTTTTTTTTTTTTTTAACAAAGTTGTCTTGAGACAGAATAAACTGGTTAGGATGTATAGTGAGCCTCCCATCACTGGAGGTGGTAAAATTTAGTAGTACTTGAAGACTATGGTCTGGCAGGTGTTCACAAAACATAGGGAGGCTGTCTAAGAGGAAGTACTACATGGTGTCTGACTTGGCAGTTAGAACTGCCTTCTCTGTGCCTCTGATTTGTCAACCACCCCACACTTCAATGTATTAGGAAAGAAAAAACAGTTGCTGTGTATCTTTTTTCCCTCCTTTCTTTTATCTAATTAGTGCTGGGACAGTGAGCAGGTTAATGACCACAAAGCATGTTTAGCTTTTCTAAGGAAAGGTTAGTTAAGATTGAATCATAATTTGTCCTCTTGCCCTCTCAGTCTATTGTAGCTCCACCAAATGCCTGGGATCTCACTTTCAATATGCCTTTCACAGGGACCATTTGATTAGAAATCAGATCAGACAAGCAGAGAAAACTGGGCAGGGTGGTATAACCTTCAACAAGTAGGCCATCCAAAGTCCCAGGAAACTGGGCATAAAAGTTGCACTTCTGGGACTAGAGGTTTTGAGAGGTAACCCATGTGGTGCCTAGAGAAATGTTTGATTTGTACTAATAATATTGCTAACATTTACAATAGGCCAAGAGCAGAACAGTTTATGTGGATGATTAAACCCTCAACAAACCCTCCTGTAATTCTCCCATTTCACATATGAAGAAACTGAGTCATTGAGAGAGTCAGTGAGACTTACCAAAGACCAGTTTTGTCAGTGACAAAACTAGGGTTTGAGCCCAAAGAGTATGGATCCAGAGTCTGTTCTTAAACACTGTGCTACATCCTATCTGTATATTGTACTGGAGGAAAAGAGTAGATATTATTTCACAATGACTTTGGGCAGAGTTCCCTAGAAATAAGTGGTAGAAGGGATAGTAAAGCTCTGGACCATGCCATGTATAAGGTTCCCTTCTTGATGCTTGGCTGGTTGTATCAGATTGGATGCAAAAATAATGCTATAAGAAAGATAGGAGTCTATTTCCCTTTCATGTAAAAAAAATGTCTGCAGGTAGGCAGTCCATGACTGCTATGGTAGCTCTATGGTCATCAAAAACTTGGGCTCCTTCCAACTTTCTGTTATCCTATCCCTAGGAGTAGGGACTTTTTCTTATGGTCCAAGATAGCTGCTAGAACTTCAACCATCATATCTACATTCCAAGCATCAAGATTGAGTAAGGGGTAAAGAAGCATTAGCTATCTTCCTTAAAGGAGGTTTCTGAAAATCTCTGCCCCAAATTTCTATTTGCATATCACTGGACTAATCACATAGTCACCCCTTACTGTAAAGAAAGATAGGAAATGTAATCTTTTACTCCATGTGACATGGGTTCCATCTGAAAATCAGGGCTCTGTTACTAAGTAGGAAGAGAAGAATGGATGTTAGGGTTGGCACCCAACACATTGGTTCTCTAACACACTGATACATCCAACTTGTACTTTTGTGTCTTCACAGTGACTACAGGTATGTGGCAGCTGCTCTGGCTGTCATGAGAAACGTGACTCAGCAGATCAATGAGCGCAAGCGGCGTTTGGAGAATATTGACAAGATTGCCCAGTGGCAGGCATCTGTCCTAGACTGGGAGGTACGATCTCTATGAACAGGGGTACTGGGGAGTCTGAATAGGTTAGCTAGAACATCACATCTTAGCCTAAGATGGATGAAAAGGAATTAAATTTAAAGAACAGCAGAAAGGATTTAGATTAGAGCCAAGGCAAAACTTTCTACTAATGAGAGGTGTTGTGTACTTGAATAGCTTTCTAAGAAGGTTGGAGAAATCTTTAAGGCAACATTTCATTAAGAAAGGAAAGGTTCATCTCTTTGGGTGTTGCCAGGAAAAAATTGGATTGAATCAATAGACTTTTGAGCTTCTTTCCAGTCCTGGAGTTTTATCACCACCAGGTGAACACTTGGATAAGAAGTGGTATGTACAAATCCACTCCCAGACACAGAATATAATGATGGTTCTCTTGTGCAGGCCAGCCAACATGCTTCTTTTTTCCACTGGTGAGATTACCTTGCCCTGACACATTTACTCGGTCTACCCAAGCTTGCACACTTGAGGCCAAGGTCATCATTTCTGCCCAGTCGACCCACCAAATTCTGTTTTTTATCATTTGCTTATAAAATTAATTCCTGACAGCCTCCTATTTCATTGGAAACAGCCACAACTTCTCTGAACTCAGAAAGTCTTCAGTGAATGAAGTCACTAAAGCCTTCCTTTCCTAGATACTCACTTGCAGAGGATATATACAACCTAACAAATAAATGGAGATTTTGCTTCTATTCATGTCACTGCTCTGTTGAGGTCCTTGGGTTTCTGTTCAATAGAAACAGAGCCATGAATTATAAGGCGTCATAGGTATGTGTGTTGAGTACACCATTTAGTCTTTGTCTCTTGTGCCCACCAAGAGAACCAGGGGCCATGGCATTTCACGTTTATCTCTCAGACCCAAATTGTGAAATCTGATAGTCTACAGGCTAACATAACCAAGATGGGAAAGGCTGGTCATTCTACCAGGGAGGGGGCAGTAAACTTAAGCTTCATAGTCACAGTGCAGAAGTTGAACCAGTTCCCTATTCCACTTGCCTCAACTCTGGTATCATTTCCTATGATTGAGAAGTAGTATCTCCCTAACATTTCAAGCAGTAGCACATTCTAAGAAGATTAAGCATCAGCCTTGCAAACAGCTATTTTACCAAAGTCCAGAAAAAAATCATCTTTCATTTATTCTGCTACCTCTGATCCTTTTTAATGTAGATGGCTGGAAAAGACCACAATTCTGAGCATTTGGTATATTTTTAGTCTTATTTAAAGGATAATGTCCCCATAAGAGTAGAAAAAAGGAGTGATTTTTTGAGATGAAGAGAAAGGAATGAATCTATATAAAGAGACCCTATTGCTCAAAAGAGGAAACCAACACTGGCCCAAACTTATTAGTGAATCATGGTTCCTCCTTCCCTTGACCAAATGACCTCTAGCAAACCCATCAACTCCAAGGCACTCTGAAATTGTGGCTGGTTAACAAGCCTCTTTCTCTCTACTCCTGCAGGGTTCTCTGTAAAAAGGAGGTTCCCAGCAGCAGTTGTCTTCATATTCCCTGGAACAACTTCCTTCTTCCTAATGCCTGGAATAGCTAATTCCTCCATATGCTCTGGGCCTCCAGTCCTTGAAGGTAGAGCCATGGAGGACCAACAATAGCTTGAAATTCCTTGGCCTATCCAGGGAGCCTTATTAATACCAAACTCAAAAACACTGAACTATGATTTAAAGATTCAGCATCTAAAAAAGGAATTTCATGTGTTTTTGTCTAGAAGTGGGGGGTGGGAAACAAAAAGACGATTTTGAGCCAGGATTGATGGGAGAACAGTTACTCTCTGCCTCCTTTGTTAGCATGATTGATTGGTCTTCTAATTTCAACCAAGCCCGTATGTACAACCCTGACACCCTGCTGCTTGGTAAAGCCCTTCTTCATCTAATTTGGCAAGAAGAAAAATTCCTCATGGTTCCCTTTTTAGACTCTGGGGTCACCGTGGAACTTACTAGCTCTAGAGGGGTTGTCTTCTAGGAAGCTTTTCTCCAGCGAATCCTGATGGGTGCATTTCAGAGGGCAGGCCTAAAGTATCTTATGTTTGTCATATCTAGTCTTCAAGACTCAGTCACCAGGGCTTTTAGGGGACGACCCTTCCCATCAACAATTCTGGCATGTACACACATACACACACACACACACACACACACATGCATTGTAATGATGGTGGAAGTCTGAGAAGCCTATTCCTGACCAAGACCACAAAGCTAAAATTTTAATCTGGTCTCCAGATTCTCTCTGTGGTATTCTTTTCTCTGCTGCACTACATACTCTTCCAACCTTCCGCTTCCCACACCCCAATTGCTTTCCTTTGTGATACTGCAGGGACTTGTTTTTGCAGTAAAGGGTCCATATCTAAGCAAGGCAGTAAGACTTCCTTGGGGTGAATATCCAAACCCTAGTATGGCTAAAGGTGGATGAATGCTGGAGGACCATCCCCAAAAGGCAATAGGACATATCCACTCCATGGCTTGCTAGCTATTGACATAAGTAGCCAAACCTCACCAGTTCCCTGGTATAGGTTCTTTGTATGTTCTACTTGTCCAAGCAGTCACACAAGCAAAGAGAGGTCCTCCCAGCTTGCTGAGGGCTGCTCTGGACAAGCCTTGCAAATCAAGAAAATGATTTCTTGCCCTCCCCCAAATGTTTGAACAAACAGGGTGGCTGTCAAAGCATCCACATAATAATTCCAGCTTAATTTGTCAAATTAAAAAGAAGAGTCATAGGGGAAATCTTCAGAGCTTAATCTGCTTTGAAGAGGAATTGGGAAAGAGGGTTGAGGATTGGCAGCATACAGGCAATTGGTACCTACTCAATAAATCAGAACATCTGCTAGAGAGTAGGAGACCTTGTATTATATCCAGACCTGACCCTGCCTCAACTTATTCCATAAATATTCAGGGTCTTTTTGTTCAATTCCAGTTATCATCCTTGCTCACTCCCCCCCACCCATGAGAACTAGAGTTCACGAAGTACCCCCTGCTCTGTCCCATATCCCAGGGCTCCTAAAAATTAAATGGATGAGTGAAAATATCACCCATACCTCAAAGTAATAATCAATACCTTAGAGTGGCTTAGGGGAGCAACAGGGAGAAGAACCAGTTCTCACAGACCACAGTTTCAGGGAAATTTACATTTCTAATTTCTCTGATGCTTATGTTTGGTTGAACTGTCACATTGCTGCCCTTAACACTCATTAGATCCACTTGACAGGAAGGGAAAAGGAATATATCCCTGGCAGCTTCCTTTTAATCTTTTTTTTTCCCCTGGAGATTTTTACCAGGAGCCCAGATTTGTAGCTCATGTTTGGGAATTTGACTGTATATGATTGTGGTGGCACCCCTCCCCTAACAGCCTGCTTGTGTAATATCCAAAGGCCTGTTCCAGTTTACCACTGGATAATTGAATCCAAAAAGTTGGAGGAAACACAAATACCCAACATGATGGAAGCAGAAAAAGTATCTATTTAGAAGCTGAGGTGGCTTGATGAGGCATACTTCTGGGACAAGGAGTTTGTTATTTCCCTGCCGTCCTGTCAATAGGCAGCATTGAAAATGAACTGTATGAAAATTAGGGCATTTCCCTTGTCCTTCTTTCCCTGGATCTGTTCAGGCCACAACCTCACATTAGAACAATCAGCCTATAACTAGAATGGGGTGTTGGGCATTGGGCTATTGAGATGAATGAGTGGCCTTGGTTTTCCACTGGGGCAAGTATGTTCCAGGCATCGGGAACAGTATGTGCAAAATCCTGGAGGAATGGAAGAAAACAGAATGTCCATGGGGGAGGTGGCAGTGGGAAGAGATTGCACTTTTGGGGGCAAGGCAAAGTAATATATGGTGCAAGTGGGGTAGAAGAGGCAAAGGGTGAGAACTCTGAACTCTGAGAGGGCTATTTCCCTTATGTGATCTGATTTTTGCTCTCAAGCAGCCATGTGAAGTGAACCAAGCAGGAACTGTTGTATTATCCATTGTTCAATTGAGAAAACAGATTGAGAGTGGTTAAGCTACTTTCCAAGGGCACAGAGTGAGTTGGTGGCAACACTGGGCCCAGAACCCAAGTCTTCTGAGATTCTCACCTCAGAAATCTTCCAAGGTAGCTAGTTGTTCCACTAAGGATTATCATTATACTGTGGTTTGGTGGCTTTTGAGGGAGTCTGGCCTGGATTCTGGATTCTTTGCGCAAATTACTTCTAATTTCTCTGACCTTGGTTTTGGGGGTAATAACAGTACATTCATCATTGGGTTCTTGTGAGTATTAATAGGAATATGTGACATAGGTTATAGAGTGCACAATAATAATCAAGATAATAGCTATCACTTGCGTAGAACTTACAGTGTGAAGTGTACTCTCCTAAGCACTTTATAAATGTTAACTTACATAATCTTCACAACAGCGAAATGAGATTGGTACTGTTATTACCCTCATTTTAAAGATGAGGAAATTCAATGTAGGAAATTCATTTTAAAGATGAGGAAATGTAGTACAGCCCCACCGTGATCCTCCCTCAGCACAATTTGTCTCTTTCCAGGGTTCAAATTGTCAGAAATTGGCAGGACGTGGCTATAGCCAGCACCAGTGTGGGGTTGCCAGTGGCCTGCTGGTCTTTTCCTTCAGAACATCTAGCCAGCTCAGGAACAAGATGGCCTTCCCTCTACCTCTAGACAGTCTTTGCAGAGTCAAGCTCCACTTGAAGCTCACTCAGTAATATAATTTACATGTGTTTTATATTCTTTTGACTACCTTTTTTTGTAGAAATAAAAATTGAACTTAAAATTTAAAAAAATAAATATGAGAAAACTGACACACACAGAGGATATATGAGTAACCTGACATCAATCAGCATGGTGAGCATAAGGGTATTCTTTCTTTCTTTCTTTCTTTCTTTCTTTCTTTCTTTCTTTCTTTCTTTCTTCCTTCCTTCTTTGTTTCTTTGTTTCTTCTTTCTTTCTTCTTTTTTTATTCTTTCTTTCTTCTTTCTTTTTCTTCCTTCCTTCCTTCTCTCTTTCTTTCTTTTGTCTGTCTTTTTTCTTTCTTTCTTTCTTTCTTTCTTTCTTTCTTTCTTTCTTTCTTTCTTTCTTTCTTTCTTTCTTCTTTCTTTCTTTCCTTTTTTTTTCTCCCTTCCTTCCCTTTCTTAGCTTGGTGGAGTTATATGTGGCAAGTACTTAAAATAGGAGTGTTCCTGGCTGGTACAGTGGGTGTAACTTTATAAGTCATCCTGAAAAAAAAAAAAGTCATCTTGGCCAACTTTTTTGGCATTGGCCTGTTTTTATGGCTTTCTTTCACTTTATATATATTCAAAATGGACTGTGGCACATCTTCCTGACCTGCCTCAGGGTGGGACATGGCAGACTGCTACCACTCTCATCTTCCCATCCATCTAACAGGAAAGCCCTGCACAAATCCCTCCCCCTGAGAGCTTCCTCTTCCAGAAGTTCTGTGTTAGTATGTGGGCCCCTCAAGGATGAATGTTTACTCAAGTTCCAAGGTACCCCTGAAATGGAGTCTGGAGTCACAGTATCTGTGAGCTTTCTTTTTGAGGTTATATTATTACAAAATATTTCCACTTAGCTCCCCTTTTCCTTCTCATACCTTAGACTGAAAAAAAGTGATATGCTGAAGAATACCATTTCCAGCTACCCCTCTGTTTGGCCCACTGCCCTGTCTAGGCTGTTCTAATTATTGCTGGAGGGGATGCAGGGATCTCCATCTCTAACCCTGACTTGAAGCTTTTGGGTGCAAGGCTGAGATCTTAACATTGGAGTATCAGGGCTAAGACCTTGGAGATCAACCTCATATACCACATTTAACATCAGGAAAAACTGAGACCCAGAGAGAGGAAGGGACTGACTGGAATGGAGATAGCATAATATAGTGGCAAGAGTGAGTATACTTTCTGGAACCACAGAATTGGGGTTGGGTCATGGGTATCTAGCTAATGAGCTGGGTGATCTTAGCTGATCACCTGACATTTCTGTACCTTGGACTATAAAATGAGAGTAAGACTACCTACCTCCCAGTATTCTTGTGTGCCTCAGAAGAGATAGAGTGAAAGTATGTAGCAAAAGTCTGATGCATATATGTGTTAATATATTTTTAGACGGGGGGAGGGGGGACAAAGGGAATGGGAGTGAGAATCTCAAGCAGACTCTATATCCAGCATGGAGCCCAACACGGGGCTCAGTCTCACAGCCCTGAGATCATGACCTGAACCAAAATCAAGAGTCAGATGTTCAACTGACTGAGCCACCCAGGCACCCCTATAGGTGCTAATATTAATTCTCCTGAGTTCTGGACCAGATTTTTATCCCTATCTTTATATAGGTCCTGGAACCCACCCCCCACCCCCCTACCCCTGTGGCAGGCTTTGGTGTGGTTTGCCTCGTGTTCCAAGAGTTCTGGGCACACCTGCATTAGTTTCCTCCACTGACTGTGAGCTCCTTGAGAACAAGGGCCAAATCTGGCTTGGCATCTGACATATATCCCCACATACCTCTAACCTAGCAGAGTTTTTGTGAAAAGGGGCCTTGGAAACTCTGTAGAATTGAGTTAGCTAGGAGTCAGATGTGTTGGTACCTTTTTTTTTTTTTTCCTGTCTATGTAGCAAGGAGGGGAAGTGGTTTCAGGCTATGAATAACAGACCAAAGAATCATGTGGTTGTGAAGTTTCCTATTTGATCAATATATTTTAATGAACTGAGAGGAGAAGAAAAAAAAATTAAGAAACTGTATGTATTCTCTCTTTCTCCCTCTATCATTATCTCCTTCTTGCCCTCCCCTGTCCCCTTTTTTACTCATTTGGAAAGCAGAGAGACTTCTATTATTTCCTTAGGCTTATTCTTCAGGTATAAGAAGGAGACTAAGAGACTAGGCCTGGGATGAAGGACTGGTGCAGAAAGACAAATTCATAGAGAAAAAGGCAAGGAAAGAGAGAGGGAGAGAGAAACCTCATGGAACCAGGATGAACCTTGGTGCCTGTAGGGCTAGAGAGCAGCTGACATAGAGAGACTATAGCAGTCCTGGGTGGTAGGGCTCATTTGGCCTGAGGGTGAACAAGAGTATGGGTCTTTCCAGCTCATGGAACCTTTTAAGGATTCCCAGGAGTCCTTTCTATCCCTCTTTCCCCACCCGGCCTTTTCTGTACTCCTCCTGCCCCGGTCTATGCCTAGTTTTAGGTGCTTCCAGGCAGGTGACAGGTCTGTCCCTTCTGCCTGGCTGCCTCTCACTATCACATATTCTTCCCAGGGTGAGGACATCCTAGACAGGAGCTCGGAGCTGATCTACACTGGGGAAATGGCCTGGATCTACCAGCCCTATGGCCGCAACCAGCAGCGGGTCTTCTTCCTGTTTGACCACCAGATGGTCCTCTGCAAGAAGGTAACCCCAACCTCTTCTTTCCTGAGGGAGATGGGAGATGGGCACCTCAGAAGCATAAGCCCCTCCCTCTCCATCATCCCCAGCTCCCAGTGAAGTGGTCATTATAGTAGGTGGGAAAAGATGCCAGTGGCTTCTAATTTTGTGATTCCTTCTTTAACTTTTGCTGTTTTCCCTCTTTGTCAGTTTTCTTTTAAAAAATCTAGAATAAGACTCTTTTTTTCTCTTTCTTCTTGTCTTCCATGATGGCTGTCTCTGATCCTCCATCCATTGCCCTGTTACTTTAGTTATGCGTATGTTGTATTATTTCCTTCCAGAGATGATTATATTGGAAATTATTTTGCTGCTTTGGGGATTTTTTCTTTTTTCTCCTTTCCTTTTTTTTTTCTTCCAGAGGAGGAGTAGAGATCCCCTTTCCTCTCTCCTCAGTCATCCACTAATGTTCCTACAGTTCTGAAGTTGTCCCAAACAACTTTTCCCCTGTATCATTTGTTTTTAATTATACCAGCCTTGACATACTCTGTTGTCTTCTGTGTCATAACTACTAGTTATTTATGTTGGTTTCATTGTATTCTGGGAGGATCCAGAATTAAATAGAGTATAATAATGCTGGAGGGAGGACTTTTTCTGTTCAAGGAACTTTCTGCATTGGGCCACTTTTTCTTGTACTGAAGGGCCAGACTTGGAGGATGAACCATCTGGGACTCAGAAATGCAACAATAGCAACAGAGATTAGGGATAGAGCAGAAAAGAGATGGGGATTTGAAACCAAAACATCTGGGTCCTAGGCTCTACTGTCTCTAACCTTGGGCAAGTTTTTTTTAACTTTATGTTCTTATTTTCCTCAGTGCCAAATCAGGCTGATGATAGAATTCATCTCAAGAGGCATTGAGGAGGACCACCTAAGGTAGTGGGAAGCAGTGAAGTATAGTGTTAAGAGCATGGGTTCTAGGGCCAGCCAGAAGGGCACCAATTTTTCCCATGAGCTGTGTGACCTTGGGCAAATTCTCTGTGCCTCACATTTGCAAAATGGAAATCATAATGGTATCCACATAGAAAGAGAGGTTGTGATGGTTAAATGAAACAATATAGTTGCAGTGCCTGGCACATGGTATTTAGTAAATGTTAGCTATTGATATTATTACTGTATATTTGGTGTTACTGTTCATTCATTCAGCAAATCTTTTATGGGAGACAGTATATGCAGTAGTTAAATAAGCACAGATTTTAGAACCAGATAGTCTGGACTAAAGCCCAACTCTACCATTTAGTAGCTTTTGTTCCAGAGTAAGCTTCTTAACTGTTCTATCTACAGTTCCTCATAAAACGGGTTATAACAGTACCTAACTTGTAGGATTGTTGTGAAGATTATTTGCTAATAAATGCAAAGCATTCAGCTGCCGAGGGATGAATACATAAAGAAAATGTGACGCACGTGCATGTGCGCACACACACACACACACACAGGAATGCACACACACTATGGAATATTATTCAGCCTTAAAAAAAGGGGGGGACTCCTGTCATTTGTGACAACATAGATGAACCTGGAGGACATTATGCTAAGTAAAATAAGACAGAGAAAGGCAAATACCATATGATCTCACTTCATGTAGAATCTACAGCTGTTGAAGTCATAAAGGCAGAGAGTAGAATGGTGGTTGCCAGGGACTGGTGAGGATTTGGAAAATGGAGAGATACTGGTCAAAGTGTGAAAACTTTTCATATGCAAGATGAATAAGTTTTGGTGAGCTAGTATACAATATGGTGCCTATCACTAACAATACTGTACTGTGTACTTGAAATTTGCTAAGAAAGTAGGTCTTAAGTGTTATCATCACAAAAAAAGTCACCATGTGAGATGATGTATATGTTAATTAGCTTGATTGTGGTGATCATTTCACAATGTATACATATATCAAAACATCACATTTTATACCTTAAATATATATAATCTTTATTTGTCAATTATACCTCAATAAAGCTGGGGGGAAATGCAAAGCATTTGGAATAGTGTCTAGGACATGATATATGCTAAGTGTTAACTGTTGCCATTGTTGTTGCTATTATTATTTTGTTATTAAGAATGTACCCTAGGTGTTGGAATGCAATAATGAGAAAAATAAGTCCAGTCCCATCCCCATGTGCCTTCCTCAGGCTCTGGAGAGAAAACCCAGGGTGATCAAGGCTAGGGGTGGGCAGGAACTAGGGCCCCTCTCTAAAAAGACCTTACTGACAAGCAAGTGAGACAGGCTGCAATCCTTAAGAGTTGCATTTCCCAGATTGCAGCATCTGTCATTTATACAAAATGTTTTACAGTGTCTTACTAAACCCCATGAATACCCAGTGAGACCAAATTCAATTATCTCCTAGTTGTTTGAATTATATAATGTCAGGAATTGGAGTAGGCTCCTTGCTGGATCCATGGCTAGGCTTGGTGCTTGTCTGCAGACTGCCAGGGACATTCTGGAGAAGCACTGGCTCCCTTGATATCCTCCAGCTTGGGTGAGTGGAAGGGAAAAGGAGGAAGGCGGGCATGCTATTAGGTATGGAACTTGTGATGACCAGGCATGCTATTAGGTACGGAACTTGTGATGACCTAAATAGCACCTGTGGTGAGCACTTACTCACCATGTCCCTATGAAAGCACTCAGACCACCATTAACAAGTGGCATTTGGGCAGCCTGGTCCCAATGGGACCTTAGACAACCAGGGCTCCAGAGGGCTTTGTCCCCTTGCCATGTGCAAAAGATGAGCAGAGAAACTTCTAAGGCTTTGTCAGCTGTTTTTCCCTGGGCAGCCCCTGAGTGAGGCAAGAGTAAGGAAGGTACACTACTGGGCACAGCTTAATGGGCAGACTATAAGCTGTGAAACAGAACTAATGTAACTCAGGAGTGTGGTGGCTGAGTTTAAGTTGTGTAAGGGTCTTCATTATCAGTGCTAGCATTCAGAAAAGGGAAACTGCAATGACTTGAGCTAGAGGATGCACTCAGGGAATACTTGAGGAGGAAAAATGTGTAAATTTGACCTGGAGCTGGAATGATTATAAAAAGAGGTATTGTTGGGGCAGGGAGGACACATTAGTGTGAGCCTAAGTATAGATCTGTGACCACCCCCATCTTGAAAGGGTATATGGAATTTCCAAGGATGTAGAGGTAGCTATGTAAATTTTAAAATATTCAGTTACTTTTGCTTTGATTTATTTTTGTCACAATATTTAAATTATTTTGAGTTTAAATGGACCAAAGGAGGCAGTGAGATTTTCAGGTTCATCGAAGGAAACTTAAAGTCCTACAAAAAATTAGTCAGGGACCAAGAAAGATTGGCACCATATTTATTAGACAAGGCTGACCTCATGACCTGGAAACCGCATGTTTAGATTTGAGCTTTACAACCATTTTAGAGAAAATTGAGGTTCAGAGAGATAAAATGGCTTGCCCAAGGCCACAGCTAGTAGGTTATGCAGCTAGGAGTCTGTATATCTCACACTCTTTCCATGCATGTTTCATGCTGCTTTGTGGCCTTAGCTATGATTTCTGATGGGATTTTTTTGAACAGTAGGTCATTCTTAATCATTCCTATCACATCCCTAAACTTGGCCTTATGACTAATCCAGTGCCTGAAAACTCACATTCAACACTCTGGGGAGCTAGAAAGAGTAGGCAAAGGGAGAACCTTAATGACACATTTCTCTAGTCCTGTTCCCCTACCACAGAAGCAGAATTCTCTCAAGTTTCTTGTTATCATTAAATACCTAAAGAAACAATAGGAGTTTCAGTTGATGCTTTTAATTTAGCTCCAAGATCATGTACATCCTTTCATTTTTTTTTTGTAAACTAGTAAAGGTTTTGAAGGCTGACAATGATTATGACACACCTTCAGAGTTAAAGGAAGCTACAGGTAATGCTGGCAGGCTGGGTCCAAAGACCCAAAGGGGATCCTGCAGGACCAGCCAATAGTGTTCTTGGTTTCATGAAGGATGGAAATAAAGCATGAGCCAGCAGGAGGTGAAAGCAGAGTTTCCTGAAGATATAGAGAGAGCAGATACAGACAGAGTGTCTGGGAGACTAAGAAATGAAAGGAGGGAATCTCATCTTTGTTCAGGTTCTGGGGGGGTTTATTGAGGATGGTGGTCTGATATACATGTCCTCTCAGGCATCTAGGTACCAGTTAGAACAAAGACAAGGGGGCAGGTTTTATTCCTTGGAGCCAGGGGGCCTTGACATTGAGGTGTCTAGCCATGGTTGTCTAGAATAAGCAAATGGTAGCTTTCTCCAGTCATTCTCACCTGGTCCTTCCATAGATGTTAACTATTCTAGAGAAATTGTTAATTCCTGTCCCTTATGAGGAGAACATATGCTGTTTGCATTACAAATCATGTGTAAAGTGGGGTAGGGGTGCAGGTCCCAGCAAGAATAGAAGCAGGAAAAGGAGTAAAAAGCAGATTTTTATGGGGTCCTTCAGTTTCCCTGTCTCTTTGGTTGAAGTTAGGAATAGTGGGAGGTTTCACTTATTTGTGGAACATAAAGAATAACATGGAGGACATTAGGAGAAGGAAGGGAAAAAGGAAGGGGGTGGAATTGGAGGGAGAGATGAACCATGAGAGACTATGGACTCTGAGGAACAAAGTGAGGGTTTTAGAGGGGAGGGGGTGCAGGTATGGGTTAGACCGGTGATGGGTATTAAGGAGGGCATGTACTGCATGGAGCACTGGGTGTTATCGGAAAACAATGAATCGTGGATCACTACATCAAAAACTAATGATGTATTGTATGGTGACTAACATAACATAATAAAATAAAATTTAAAATATAAATAAATGAATAAAGTTGAGGAAATTA